AGCCTGCTTAGAAAAAATATATATCATGCTTAGAAAAAATATATAGCTTGCTTAGAAAAAATATACAGCTTGCTTAGAAAAAATATACAGCCTGCTTAGAAAAGATATATAGCCTGCTTAGAAAAAATATATATCCTGCTTAGAAAAGATATTAAAACTGGACTAAAAGGTATGAAATAATTTCTAGTTGATTGATGCGAATGCCTATCAGTTCTAGACGTAATTGCTTAAAAGTATGAAATAACTTCTATTTCTTCCATATTCAATTATATCGAATAGTATATTAAATTTCTATTCCCTTTACATCAGATCACGTTAAATGACCTCTTCATAGCAAAATTAACAACTACTTGCAGTAAAAATGACCAAAGTTGCTTAAAAGTACGAAACGATTTCTATTTCTTCCATATTCAATTATATCGAATAGTTCAACTCGCGACTTTCCTTCTTCCTCTTGTTCCCTTTCTAACGCCAACCGTTTCAGGTACGCGATTTGTATCGTTCGCAATTTAGCGGAAGGAGGAATGAAACACGTGGAAAAAGGTTCGAAAGCACGCGTCGAGTGCGATAATCGAGCTGTCAGCGGGAAGAGGCGTTCCTAGCGTGTCTCTATAGTGAATCCACGCGATCCTGCTGCGCCAAGAGGCCGAAGGGACAGGACCACCGTTTGCCAACGAACCAACAAGACGTTCGAGGACGTTTCGCATTGATATTCGACGACCATCCCGAACGCTTCTGCATCGATTGTATCCTGTAGCCTCGTCCTGCTGCGCGAACAACCGGAAATGGACAAGGACGCGAGGTCTTCTCTTGCGAGGAAATTAACACAACCACGAATTAAAATTACGGTAAAGTCTCGAATGCAGAGATGAAACATTTTTTATTATCCTATCGTTTTCGCTCCGTTCTTCTCTATTCGCTGTCCTACATTCGAAGCTCCTCGGCGAAACGTGAGGAAATATATGGATTGTATGAGAAACGAGTCCGGTCCCGATGTTGTGCATTTAAGGAGACTTAAAACGCGTCGCTTGCTTCCGAGAATATTTCGAAGGAACCAGTGTCGATATTTCTGGAATCGATTCATGTTCTAATTGTGTTCCGGAGCATCGACGATTCGACTGGCTGGCGTTCGCCTACTGGATTTAATCAACGGCGGAGCTTCAAAGATCCGAGCAAGTTGGCCCCTCGGAGCAGTTTGTTTATCGTCGGCATGGCCTGCTCCGATCGCTTCCCTTTTTTCTCGCCAAGAATTCGTCCGATCCAATAACGCTGGTCGAGCAGCTTCCTGGAAGGTTCTCGCCTCTAAGTTCGCTTCGGTGTACCAACTGACGAGCACCAGCCCTCCTTTTTCCTCGTACTTCCCTCTCCTTCGACCTTTGACCTCTCGCGGTCCCTTCGTCAAAGTTTCCAACGATTTCCTTCCACGTCGGTATGATTGCGACGCGGCGGGATAACTATTTTCGAATGCTCGTTACGCGTCTCGCGAGCGCGGTTAACGAACGGGATCGTGTTACTGGACAGGTTAAGAAATCGAGGGAACACGATGACGCGACTCGCGATAAAAAGATGCAAGAAGCGTTGTTATTGCGGCGGGAGGGAACGTATACGTCTCGACTGCCTCGCGCGGCGAGCTTCTCGGTGCTGAGTAAACATCGTATGGACGTCTAGTTAGTTTACACTTTGTTTTCGGAGATGTTAACAAAACACGCCGGCGCTTTGAACCGCCACCGACCGACCGCGAGTCACCAACGTGAGCCTTCTCTTCTCTCCACTTTTTCGCCGCATCTCGAGGCTCCCGAGTACCCTCGATCGCCCGTTGCGAACATGTACGAGCGAAAAAAAAAAAGGAAACTGTGGCGGTTGTCCGACTTCATTGGAAATTAAAGCCAGCAGTGTTCGGTGGTTAAGAAACGCGAAGCGTATGTATATTTACAGTCGATTAGAAAAGTGAGGTCGCGAGCGTTGGCGACGTACGCTCTATCCGAGAAATACTCGAAAGGACTCGAACGTTCCGTTCGGTTTCGTGTAAACACGCGGTTGGATTGAATAAACCGCCGCGTATGTTTTAGTTTATTTTTACGCGGCCGGCGAAGCGATAGTCGCCGATTGTTATTCGAGACAGATTTCGCGCCGAATGGACGGACGTAGACGTTACTTAACGAGATTAGAAGCTGAGCTCTACGAGTGCAACGCGATTAGGTACTTCGAATCGAGTTCATTCCAGATACAGTCGACGTGAATATTAACGCTATTGTTACGTAATTGAATCGCCTTCGAACTTCACGAATGTACATGTTAATATATTTGTCAATATTTATCTCTTCTCTTATTGTTTATTTTCTGAGGAAAAATTGCAATCTGTGTCACCTATCACGACCGGTCGTTTGACCAGTATGTAGAACGGTTTATACAGTGTTTCGAGTTAGTGCATTTATGGAAACTTTGGAATTTCCATAGTTTGTGCATTTATGGAGACTTTGGAATTTCCATAGTTTGTACATTTATGGGGACTTTGGAATTTCCATAGTTTGTGCATTTATGGAGACTTTGGAATTTCCGTAGTTTGTGCATTTATGGAGACTTTGGATTTTCCGTAGTTTGTGCATTTATGGAGACTTTGGAATTTCCGTAGTTTGTGCATTTATGGAGACTTTGGAATCTCCATAGTT